TGACTGTGCGCAGACAACCGCACGCCGTTGCACTGGCGCGCGCTGTCTGGCACGCTGGGCGCTGGCCGAGGCGCTGCTGCCGCTGTGTGCGGCAGAGCGACCACGGTCGACTCCTTGTCGACCGTCCGGCGAACACGATCGACCAAACTGACTTAACTGAACACATCATGACCTTATATGATCATTAAACTGAATTTAAACAGAAATTACTGAACTCGTTGACCGGACCTAACACTCGGCCGTGGCGCTCGCTACGTGCGAGGCCCTCGGCCTTCGGCTATCTCTCGACCATTTCAAAAGATTCTCGACCAAGACTGAACATTACTGAACTTAACATATCTCACATGAATGTCTGTATCAAATATGACCTGAAGATATAGCACACGCATATTGAACATGAAAGGCCGCGGCGAACGCCCGTGCGCCGCCGACGACTTTGTGCCGCCTCTCGGCCGAACTAACTTATTAACCGATAACTTCAGAACAACATGACCTGAGCGTTAATATGAAACAACTTAAGGCTTAAACACACGGCTGAACATACTAATTACTGAAGACATAAGTCACGGCCCGAGGCCACCCGAGGCCACGCGATAAGCGTTGGCGACGGCTGGGCCATGACGTCAACAAAACCTCATCTTTACTTAACAAATCCGAACTCACTAAACATGATAAAATTCAAATAAAGGTTAAGCAACCAATAAACGCTCGGGACTGATCGGACTAAAATAAACATAAATCGGTTATGATCTTTCTCACGGTAATCGAACTAAGGCACGGTTTAATCTGAATTTCTCGACAATTAATCGAACACTTAACCTTAAATTAATCTTATCAACGTGAACATAAGTTGAAGAAGAAAGTACCTCTCCGATCGGTCGACGGAAATCGGAAAAATAGGTGTGCTTCTTGCCTTAGCGTGCGCCGTGCGATAGTCCTTCTTTTTCCGTGCGATTGATAGTAATTATTGAGGGAAAATTTATATAACTTCTTGCTGCTGAATGGGTTGCAAATTTAGGAGGAAAAGTGCTGAAGGTGATGATCGTTCTTTAAGGGAAAAACGTGAGGAAAATTTTGCTTGAAGCATCCAATTTATACACGGTCAAAAGGAAGGCTTGGTGACGAGCTAAAGACGTGGCCGCATGATGTCTTGACATTTGATTTTAATTTAGCAATCTTGGAGATGACTCCTCCTTCCTCTAGTCTCCCTTAAAGACACGTGGGTTTTCTTTAAAACGAAGAAACATTTCATGAATTTCTCCCATAATTCACACGGCATTTGCTATAAATTTGGAGGAAATATTGCCTTATCTCACAGCTATTAGGGTTAATTATAGGATTAATTATAATTAATCCCTCAATTTATGTTTAATTATTTAATTAAACATAATACTTGATTACCAAATTTATTCTGAACGTAAACGGTACGCCGAAATTAAATTTCGGTAATCTCGACTGAACTTAATTAATTCCGACAATAACAAACAATAACGTTATTATATCGGACTAAACATGTAATTTATACCGATAAAATATCGGGATATTACAAAAGATGTCGAGATTAATGTATTAGTGGCATTACAATTAAGATCGTAGTGACTAATACCTTTTGGAAAATCGTAGAAATACTTATTGGATGTCGAGATTCAATCTCAATTGTTTCACCTTGTTCATTGGAACAGGACGGTGCAACAGACCGTAGGAAAATGTCTCTCTAGAAGATTGGTTATGTCAATGATGAGCTATTCAAAATTTCATTTTTTCGTATTGGACTTGTGCAAATAGCAGGATAAATTCTGAACATAATCCTATCTAAGTTTAGTAGTCATTACTCTGAATGAATTGTTGGCAAGACTTAGGCCTTGTCAGGAACATATTCGAATTCAGAGCTTTTCAACATACGTGCTGGAAAGTTGATACTAATAGGATTGGAAAAGATGTTCGGAAATTAGACTATTTGTGTGATACTTCATATTAACGAGAAATGAGTGGATTATTATAGTACTAAAAGTCAGAATGTGTTCGTTAGCGCGAATGTCAGATTTTTAGAGGAATACTAAGTGATAAATCACTAAGTTCATTTGTAGAATTGTTTTAAGGGAAGATAAAGGTGAAAGTTCAACTTTGTTACCAAGTGTACAAATGTGATTGTAACGCCCCGTTTGATTATGAATTATTGGAGATTATTATTATTATTATTATTATTATTATTATTATTGTTATTATTATTATTATTATTATTATTATTATCATATTAATTGTTATTTTTGCCTAATTGTCTCAATTAATTTAGTTTGGAGTATTTATTATTATTCTATTATTTTACTCGTTCAAGTCATCATATTATATTGTCCTAAAAGATGATATAATGCCCTGTTTGATTTACTTTAATTAAGTCAGTCGAAAATTCAGTTTAAATCAGACTAAGGATCGATTTATATCTTCGCATATTGACCAAACCGAGACAAAGTCAAACTGAGGTCAAACCGGACACTTAGAAATAATTTCCAAGTCATTTGGCCCTAAGAAGCTTGCCAGGCCCGCGCAGCCCGCGCGCCCACGCGCAGTCCGCGCATAGCCCGCGTGATACGGAAGTGGGTTTCGAGCCCTGACGACGAGAAGGTCCAAGAGCCGAGAAGGCTCGAGACGGCCGAGAAAAGGGCCAAAACTACGCACGCATGGCCTAAGCGACGGTTACGAGCGTGAATGCGAGGCGCACGAGCACAAAAGAGGTGGCACAAGTCAACCCAAACGCGGCCAAGGCATCAATCGACCCAACCGGAAGGGCGCGAACATGCGCAATGGCGTAGACGTGCTCGGACGAGACCACGCCTCAAAAGGAAGCGCCATTGGAGGTTTAGAGAAGCACGCCGAAGGAGCAAGACCTGGTGGGGACGGCTAAGGCACCAGGTGCC